GATATAATGAAGAGTTTAAGAGACGATTCCCTACCTATCGACGTTACGAGAGATGATCCTGTACATAGGCAAGGTAAAAAGATTCTTTGCTTATTTTTATTTTCAAACATCGTGATTGGTTGTATGAATTTCAATAAATGATTTTCGCTTAGTTACTAAAGAAGGAAAGCAGGCGTTCACGCAAAGCAATAATTACTGTTTGGCAGAGAACTTTGATACCGATGGATTTAACTTGGGGTATGTAAATAACATTAATCAGAAAAAGAGGAACCGTTTAATTGTAAACGTTATTCAGCAATGTATCATGTTTGTAATAGACACCTTTTTTTAAATGTATATTAATATTAATTCAGGTATAAATTCTTTTTTAGCCGACTCCATTTCAGATCGTAAGTAAATTTGATTACTATAACGAGAACATTTGATCAGTCTACGATGAGAAATTATGCAATTAAATTATTACTTTTCAACGAATAGCTTCACGTGTATAAATGAAAATTGTAGTATATATTTTTATATCGCCTTTAAAATATGATTTTTATGTAACGATTACGTGCAATTGGTAGTGTGTTTTTCTATGAATTATTTTTATTAACTGTAATTAAATGTCATGCTACACTGTTCATGCATTTATGACAAATCGAAATATGGTAAAATATATGAGAATGCATAAATGCAAACATATATAAAACATCAACAATAATATACATGTTACATCGTTTAGAAAATAAGTCATATTTTCAATTAAGTCTCAATTCTTTTTCTATATCTGTGAAAATATGAATTTATCACAAATATCCGTAGTCTACATATTTTTTTTCATACATCTAGTTCTAAGGAGAAACACAATTGCATAGTAATCAAGACATAAGTTAAGCATGAATAAATAAATGTGTAACTAAACAATTCATCCGAGTGTTGCGTTCACTCGATTATGTTTTACATTGTTTTAGGAAACTCTAACATTTTTCGTCTTTAGATTTTTAGTAAGTTTCTTGGTGGACGCACGCGGGGGTGCTATGAAGGGATGTAGACATAGCGGAGTGCGTATCATTGTACCACCACGCAGAGCAACAATGCCGATTCGGGTCACCTGTAGATTGATAAAACCGAATAAAGTAGCAAATCCTCCTCCTTTAATGGAAGGGGAGGCTTTAGCAACTCGCATTATAGAGATGGGACCAATTGGTGCAACTTTCCTCGGGTAAATACCACTTCGTTGAATAAATACCTTCATGATAGTTCATCCATAGACGTAATACATTTCGTTTTAGGCCTATTTTAATCGATATTCCACACTTTGCGTCTATTCGAGGCAAAGAAAGAGAGATAATCATTCTTAGAAGTGAAAATGGGGAAACTTGGAAAGAGCATGACAACTCTGTTGATAATGATGATACATTGTTAAATACGCCATATGGTACTTCTGATATACGCAAAATTTAAATTTTCTACAATAATTTTCATTACGTATATTTGTTGATTTCACGGCCAATGAAACCTTTTGTTTTTTGAAAGGGCCTTTAATAATTTCTTGTAACTTCGAATCGCTGGAGTAACGCGGCTCGTTTAGTTTGCTTTATACACTACAACGTTTTGTTTTACAGATCCGCAAATGAGCGCTACTCATTCCGGCAGAATCACTCGCATAATAACGTCAGATTTTCCTCAATATTTTGCTACCGTAACGAGAATTAAACAGGAGGTTCACGTGATAGGGGCTGAAGGTGGCATTTTAATATCGAGCGTGGCTAATCACGTGCAAGCAGTTTTCCCACCTGGAGCATTAACAAAGAAAATTAAAGTTGGATTACAGGCAAGTCATACGTATTATAAGACTGGATTAAGAAGGATGTATAAAAGTGGTCAATGTTGGGATAGCTAAGGCATTTAAATTATTAGTAAGGCATTATTTAGGTTTCGTGGAATTATTTACTATTTATTTCGTATTTATTAACGAAACCCTGAGGTGCCTGGCTTAGGAATTATTTATACATCGAGTGTTGATTAGATATTTCGCGATGTGAAACTTGCTTTTGATGGAATATATTTTTCTTTTTACAGAAAAGTCAATCTTTTATTTCATTTCATTACGTTGAAATTGGTACTTGACATTCATACTTTGTAAATATAAATATAAACTTTCATCCATGAAATAATGTTTGAATTTATATATTTCATGCATCAGTTTCAAATAATTCCTAATTCTTCACCATTTGAACTAGTTACTTCATCGGCCTTTTTAATCATTTTCTTCACATTGAAAATAAATAAACGTGAGTTCATCATTCCTCGAAACCTAAAGAGTGATGCTTTATTAAAAATTTAAGTGCCTTAGCTACCCTAAAATTGTCCTTTAACATCCTCCTATTCTATTTAATAGCGATTGTTTGTCGTTTTTTGTAGGCCCACGTAATCCCTGCCGAGCTTACAGCAAAATTGCTTGGTAACTGCGTTGCTGTTTCTCCTATAATTACAATCGAACCGAGAAGAAGAAAATTTCATAAACCGATCACACTTACTATACCAGTGCCACAAGCTGCGAACAAAGGGATGATCAATCAGTATGGAGGCGAAACACCAACGCTGCGTCTTTTGTGTAGCATTGCAGGTAAACGAAGCAAACAGAAATCACTTCATCTCGTATAGATTTTCATAATGTGTTTCTCATTTTCCTCGCATTTCTCATTTTACTCCATTTCTCATTTAAGTGGTTAATTAATGTCTAATTACATTCGAAATGTAGGTGGTACAAGCGAATCACAATGGGAGGATGTTACTGGCTCCACACCGTTAACATTTATGAACGACAAAGTGTCCTTTACCACAACCGTCTCCGCCCGATTCTGGTTAATGGATTGTCGAAATATAGGCGCTGTTTCAAGAATGGCTACAGAATTGTACGAAGAATCCCTGTTCGTCCCTTACATCATAAAGTAAGTACTGTTATTGAACGACGAAGTTCTGATTCGTTTCGATAATTATTTTAACAAATAAAAAAATCATTTTCGTCTTTTTTATACAGTTTCGTAATCTATTCCAAGCGAATGGATATCTTCGAAGCGACTTTACGAATACTGTGCATGACAGACGGGAAAGAAGGGATGCACACTTTGGAAAGGCAAGAGGAATTTGTCGAAATTGTAAAAAGCCGCGACGTTGAAGTAAATATTTTTTTATTACGTAATTTTAATTTTATTTTATTTACCGTCAAGTGAGATGACAATGTAAAATCTAAATATAATATTGGATAGTGATATGTTCAAACATTTCTTGCCTCAGATATTTTTTTCATCACTCAATTCAATGGGAATATTTAAAATTCCTATCTTCAGTAGCAGGAAGAATTTAATTTAATAGAAATAAAATATATACATTGAAATCCGCATAAATTATTCAAATTTTATCCTACGCTATATTTTGAAAATAATATTTATAATTCCTTCAATAGTTTAATATAAGTATTACTGAACAACATACATCCAACGAAATGGTTATAAGAATTGTGTTCTTTACAGGCCCTTGACGGAAAAGATCTTTATATAGAATTCAGTGGAAATTTGGTGCCCGTGACAAAATCGGGTGTACAGTTGAAGTTTACTTTTAAAGCTTTCCGACAGAACCGATTGTCTTTCCACGTGAAAGTGAAGGACCCGTTGTTGGATCCCGTGGCTAGAATGCTCTTCATGCGAGAGCCAAAGGTCGCCAAAGGGGAACCACCGCAGCAACCGATTTGTGTATTAAATATCGTTCTTCCAGAAACTTCGGCCACGAACGAAATTTCGAAAAAATTGAAAGGTGAATAATTCAAACCCTCTCACTTGTAATCTTTAAATTAAATACAAATAAGCCGCGCTATGAGTCTGTGGACGAAACAAAAAAAGAAATATTCTCTTTCTGTCGCAGACTATGAAGACTCGAATATCATTAATCAGAAACTCGATTCCTATGAATTACAATACGAGATGGAGGGAAAAGAGAAAAACGATGAACTTAAAGAAGTGTCACCATCGGAAAATAAATTTATTACCGACACTCTGCAAAAAGAACGAACAGGTATGATATTAATCTTTGTCTACTCTTACGCTATATACAGAATGAATGATGAACTCGGGGCAACGAGCGAAAAGAACATTTTCGAAATGTGTCAATGGAAAAAGTTTTCAGACGTGTTTTGTAGTATACACAGAGTGTTTTATTTATATTGTGATAGTTAAATATCTTATGGTAGAGGGTGGAGGATGGAGTTATTGAAAAATGTTTCTACAGAAGTTATTTGACTCCAAGGGGCAAATTATATTGGAGTAAACAATTTTCTTGTAAGTGAATTGGTGAGTTAGATTTAACAAACAAATTATTTTCTTTAAATGTACATTTATATATATATTTATCCATAATAAGATAGCATTTGTTTAGACAAAGTCGACCTATCGTGCCTAATAATAGTCATTACAGTCAAGGCTCCATTTAAAAAAATTAATTTGCTTCTTAAACCTACTCCACCATTTCACTTACAAAACAATTATTTACACCATGTAATTTACCCCAAAAAACATTTCATTTGATAGCTTCATCTTCTCATGAGATATTTAACAATTCGGAACACCCTGTAAATACTTTAAATATACATATTTTCCCGTATGTAATGTTATGCGAAGACAACAATGTGCAATGGTATACAATTAACAAATTACCATCTTCAATTGAAAGTTCAAAGTACAAGGTGCAAAAACGAATAATTGTGTACACAAATATCGCATACAGTTAATGAATATTGATTAGATCAATAATCTTAATCTCGTGACACGATACAACGAACGTATTCATTAACAAACGACCACTGGTGATAATAATGGGAAACAGTTGTTTCCAAAACAAGATCATTTTAAACGTGATATTAAAATTCTATTGTAACTCGATTTCCGTTTAAGAGGAAAAAGTAATTCAGCTTATGGCTGAGGTACAAAGTAAGGTTTCTTTAATTCAATTATGTATAATAGTATCAACAAACGACCGAGGTAGCTGTGACAAACTTGTTTAGTTTGTTCGGAACCACTGGCGGAAACGTCACCCCTAAAATTTCTTTTAGTATCGTCTTCCGAGACTTTCTCAAAATGTAAGTTTTCATTTTCCGTTTCGAATTTTATTTTGTCCATGCATTATCGGGTTTGTATTTGGATATTTCTTTTATTTTTAATATTAATTTCCATTCCTTCTATACTCTTCAGTTTCAGGTTTTTTTAAGTTCTCTAGTAATTTCCAATTAAGCCCTGCATGCTAATCGTAAAGAAAGAGGTGAACCGTCGACAAATTTGTCCCCGCCATGGATGAATTGTGCGAGCAACAGGAGACGAAAGTGGAAACGGAGTGCGGTATTCCGGAAACGGAAAACGAGAACGCGTCCACTAATAATTCCGTGGCGGACTTAGAGTCCTCGGAGAAACGAAACGTGGAACCAGAAGAGGAGCACGAATGTCACGAGAAATGTCAATTATCGAACGTCACTAATAAGAATGTATGCCCGTTGAAGCCGAAGGAAACCAGTTCGGGAACGAAAGTTAAGAGAAAAGCGAGATCGACGCGTAGAAAACTCAACGCCATGGTCAGCAATACCTCTTTACATTTCTCCGACACCGATTCCGAGGGTGAATTGACGACCATGAAGCCTCAGGTACGATCGTTGAACCACGCGCCAGATATTCCGCAGGCGCCAATTATTTCAATAACAACGGACAACACGGAAGCCCCGAATGGATTACCCGAGAACTCGACATTGCTATCGCCCGATGGCAAGGACACGATTCAGTGTAGCAATTTTGTTGAAAATCTCACGGACGTCGACGAGATATACCCGAGCGAGACGGAGACCGAACAAAAGGAAACCGAAAACGGCCTGAACGTCACCGAAAATTTTTACTTGGACGAGACGGACTACGAAGATCTCGAGGGCAGCGAGGAAGTCCAAACGACGATTTACGTGAAACCGAGGGCTGATATATTCGGCGAGTACAGCGGCGAAACGATAATAACTAAAGAAAGCGACGGACCGTTGTCCGTTGAGATCAGAAACAAAATCTACCACGAGGAAATTCCGCAATCCGGATCCTGCAGCAAGACACCCGATATCGTGGTCATGTCGCAAACCGACGAAGAGGACATGGCTATATCCGACGAGGATGACATGCAAGAGATATGCTGCAGTCAAAGGGAATTCCTCGAGGATCTGGACGTTCTCATGGCTTCTCAGATCATTATGACGAATATTAATAAATCCGAGCACATGCTGCTCGGTAAAGACACGAGCGACGATGGGATCAACGATTGTCATACCGATACCGAGGACGTTGATCAGGTCGAATAAAATCATTTTTAACGTACTCTGACGGTAAGGGCACGGACACGCAAGACACGACTTTAAACGAGGGACTTTCCAGTTATTTAAATGTTGCATACGAGGATCGATCTGTTCTTTAGTAAATGTTTCTTGTAAAAGTTCGAGAGTGTACTGGACATTAAATGTCATATCATCAGCATCACCGCTATTTATCTTCTTCGTGTTGAAATTATAAAATCCGTGGAATGAATCGAATTATTTGTGAATCTAGATTATTTCTGGTGTTTGTGGGTCAATTTAAATTCTTCTGAGTAGAGGGGGTGGTTTTCAGGGAGTCTGTTGGACGATTTTGTTATATTTTTTGTAGATTTATTCAAATTTTTCGAGATTTAAGTTTTTTTTAAAGGAATTCAGTTTTTCTTCTGTTTGGGAAAACATGTCAGACCATCTTTATTTATTTAGACGACAATTATTCGACTCCTCTTTTAGAAATTTTGTAATGAGAATTTATGTACAATATGTGAACATCATTTTAAATAATGTTGTTATTAATTTGTTTTCTGGTTTCAAACAAAAAATTTTAGTACCATCCACACATTGGTATATATAAATAAATATACAATTACGTGTTAACATTACTGAAAATTTGTTTTCGAAACTAGAAAAATAAAGATAGTAACGAGATTATATAAAAAGATGATCATGTATTTTACGTTACATATGTATGTAATATATTATATCACCAACAATACAAAAATATAAAACAATGATATACAATATGTATAAATTCCCAAGATTTTTTCCCAAGAAATGCAACTTTATGAACATATAATCTGATTGAAGGCTCCATCGAACTAGATCATCTAACATAAAAAAAAAAACATTGAAATTGATCTACCAACACTGACAACATTCAAGGTGGTTCACTCTGTCTTTGAATTTTTGCTAATGTAATGAGTGATTTATGCTGTTACATAAAATACCGGTATCATACTTATATTACTCGTTTCCGTGTGGGTAACCCTTATCGAAATAGAGGTATGAACACGCTGGTACGGCGTTACACAAGTTTACGACATCGTTATTAGTTTACTGGTGCTATTATCGGTAAACATACTCGTACACGGTATTGAATCCTTTATGACTCAAAGCAAAATGTTATTCTGCATTGCACAGTTAGTTCCGTATATATTCCTACGTGTTTTGATTTGCAACAGACAGATAGGACAATCAAACGATAAATAAAAAATAATTCAATCTGTTGCTATAATTATTACTGAATAATTATTATGCAACATATATACATTTAAGTGATATACTTTGTGGAGAAATTATTTTTTCATCAAATGGACCAACATTAAGGTCTCGATACAATGAAATTAATATAGAAAAATAAGAAAGACATGGTACTGCTGACATTACTATTTATTAGTACTACTTCTCCAAGTGTAAAAATGAATTCTTCCCTCATCTACTGATTTAAAAAGAAGTTATTGTGCATTCACGAAAATATAGTTAGTTTCACTATAATATATACATATTTTATATCTGTAATAGGTATAACATATGTATTAAACATGCACATATACATGTATTAATTATAATTACATACATTATAGTGTAACATATTTGTATAATATATACGATATATATACATATATTGTAGTGAAACTGAGCATCTATTTATGAGTGTACTCAATGTTGGCTCGTAGGTTTGGCACACAAACTCTCGTTTCAGTTCCAACATTTTGTAGCCAATTCTTCCTTCTCATACTAATAAAATAGAAACGGTTTTCTTCGTAGTGGCGAAATCGTAATGGCATTTCAAAATCATTCAATAGATACTACTACATGTTTAATTTTAAAACAATCATACAATCGAATACTCTGTTGGCAAGAGTCGGTTATATAGAACTCAAGTTGACCACAAAGTTTATCAACAGGGTGTTCTATGTTATTATCAGTAAAACGATCTGCTTTAACGACCAAGTGCTCTTCTTTATCGAGTCTTATCGACAAAGTATTCTACTATACCGACCGTGTACCCATTCTCTTCTCCATTCCATCCCCTTCCTTTTTCTTCACTTCATCTCCTTAGTCGTTCTCAACATTGAAATATTTACAGCATTTCCATTAAAAGTAAAACACTGCCGTATCCATTGTTAACAATGCAGAAAGCCATAAACACTGCTATTTTAGATACTTCAAAGCCACTCATTAACAACATCGACACAATTGTCTAAATCATGCTACTCAAGATTTTGTTTCTATTTAAAAGCATAAAATAATTCAATAAAATAATTTCTCTATTTTTGTTAATTCACGAATAATATTTTGATTTAATTTCTCCATATCTTCAATTAAAAGTAATTTTATTGTATGACACACTCGCAAAGCTATACAACCGTTGTAGAAAATATTTGTTTACAACTCCAAAAGAAACAGTAGCTATAAAATTAATAAAGCTGGATGGGACGCTGGACATCATTCCAGTTCATAAAATGTAGAGAACCTAACGAGAATAAAATCTCAGTGAATTTCTATTTACATCTATTCGTTTCTCTTTTTGTTGTGTATACAAAAATTACTTTTCTAGGAGACTTTTACTTTCCTTTTTGCACCATGCTTTGGATAAAATTTTATGTTTAAATTATTTTTTAAAAACTTAAGAAAAAAATAAAATAGCGTAGGTGAAACTATTATTGCTTGACATTACATGCTAATTGTAAATATACCTATAACGTACGTACGATTTTAATAGACGAGACTACCTTAACTTCAAGAAATCTGAAAATATCGAAATAGTGTAAGGGCACAGATTACATGCATATGTGTAACCAAGATTTGTTGATAAACAAACATTCGTTCTAATATTGTTACTTGGTATTAACGCAATTTTCTGTACTTGTACTTTGCAGACAAAACTACCGTCCTCAACATTATCATAGACAACCGTATGGGATATTAATTTTAAATCTCGATGGATACTAGTTTCTAAGGATATTGATAAGAAAAAGTGCAATCCTCGTAGTCTCTAAAGGAATTTAAAATTACAAATATATATTTCGGTTATACACGTCGTGGGTGCATGTTACCTGTTAAAACAAAAAAAAAAGTGATCGATATACATATATATATATACTGATAATTAAACTTGTTGAAATTGTGTTTCTTTTAGGGATAAATTGTTGTAGGTAACGGTACTAGAATTTACGATAGTTGATAGAAATTTAAAGGAAAACGATGAAAAAAAAAAAAAAACAAAATAATAACAAAACTGAAATAAAAATGTATTTACATATGTTTATCATAGACGTCTGATCGCATAATTCTATCAAATTATACGTGAGATTGTAAATATATGCAATGCATTTTTATGTATTATACATGTATCTATCTAATAAAAAGTAATATGAGCATAATTCTTGGTTGTTCTAGATGCTGTTACTATTCATGAATCCCTTGTGCAAAAAGCGGCTTGTCCCCTAGAATCTGTAGATGCTAGTTATCCCAGTAAAGTAGTCGGAGATGAGCAAGACTCGTCCGCTATCGAGAGGCAGACGTATAAGGAGAAACGGAAATTCTGGGAGGATATATCGAAGAAACGGGAGAGTTATCAACGGTCGGAGTCCGACGTGTCGAGAACGTCGGAGTTAACGTTTAACGAAAGCGACAGTCAATACATGCAAAACGTCGTCACCGGGGATACAGGGATGACGTCCGAAATGGAAAAGTCTGAAACGATGGAGGATCTGAACGTACCAGACATATCCGAGTGCTCGGTGGCGGAGAAGGCTCATTACTTCGAGGAACAGATACAAAAGGAAATAACAAAAGTTACGCCTAAATTGTATCAACAGGTCTCCTTGAAATCTGACAAAGAAAAGTTAGCGAAAGGGGGCGAGAAAGAGAAAGGGGACGAAGACGAAAAATATATAACCGAGTTGAAGGATGCAAAGATTGTCGAGAGGAAGAAGGATATTATTTCGGAGACGAGAGATCAGAAAGAGGACAGAAGGGCGGGGGTGAAGAAAACGGTTTCCGAAGAAGAGAAAGATGAGATTAAACAAATGTACAAAGACATAAGCGATAGAGCTGTGATGGGCGTCTGCAAACAGTTGTTGGACAGGGAAGAAAGAGATTTGGAGGACACTGTTACAGAGAAAACTGATAAGCCTGAAAAGAGGAAAGAAGATATTGAAGAGGTAGATAAATTAAAGTATGCGAAAGATGAAGTAAAAAAGACACATCCTGAGGAAAAATCGTTAGAGGAGGTTAAGAAAGTAGAAGATATGCATGTAGAAAGTATGAGCATTGTCCAGAAAAGTAAATTGAAAGTTGAAGAACAACGTAAGGCAATAGATGTTGCTCGAAAGCAAGAGGAAAGGGCGACAGGTGTTAGTAGTAAAATACCTGTAAGAGACAGTGAAGAGAAACAAAAGAAGGATACGCAGAAAATTCAGGGAGAAGTTAAACAAACGACAGACACGAGTGTCAAACAAGAAAGTGAAAAGAAGAAAGTGGAAGAAGGTAAAAAATCAGTTGCTGAAGTAAAAGGTAAAGAAGAGATTATAAAAGATGAAAAGAAGAAAGTGGAAGAAGTGAAAGAATCTGTTACAGAGGTAAAACGTAAAGAAAAGACCATAAAAGATGAAAAGAAGAAAGTGGAAGAAGTGAAACAATCTGTTACAGAGGTAAAAGGTAAAGAAGAGACTAAAAAAGATGAAAAGAAGAAAGTGGAAGAAGTGAAAGAATCAGTTGCAG